TTTTTTTTTCTGAAGAAGGGTCTAGGCCCGAAACGTCAGCCTTCCTGCTCCTATGATGCTGCTTGGCCTGCTGTGTTCATCCAGCTCTACACCTTGTTATCTCAGATTCTCCAGCATCTGCAGTTCCTACTATCTCAGGGACACGAATTTGACTGGGACAATACACCGATAATCGCACAAACCAAACAGACACGCCAGGGAATTCCTGGAGGCCTGGTATTCCAACCGGAACTCCATCAACAAACACATTGAATGAGACCCTATGTACAAACCACTGAGAAACAGAACCTGAAGTGATACCAACCACCCCAGCAAACCGAGGCATATAAATAACAAGCAGGACAGAACACTGATGCTTCACCAGAGGCGCACTGACAATGTTACCTAGCAGGGTGACGAAACATCTGCAACCAAACACACCGGCTCGGGGAGCACATCCACAACCTCATCCACAACCCGAGTTACAAATCTTCTCTCATGAGGCTGTTGCTTGACTAGTTCGTGAAACAACTCTCACAATTCTTCAGTACTGTTACCAGAATGTTTTCATGGCCAACAACTTTGCAGTATCCAGTGTCTTCAACCGTTCCTTGACATCAGATGGAATGAATTGAATTCGCTGAAGACTGGCATCTGTGACGCTAGGGACTACTGGAGATCATCCACTCAGCGCTCTGGCTGAAGACTGTTGCAAATGCTTCAGCCTTATCTTTGGGCATCACTGAGGATGAGGATATTTGTGCAGCTTCCTCCTCCAGTGAGTTGTTTAATTATCTACCACCATTGCTGACTGGATGTGGCAGGACTGCAGAGCTTAGAATGGTTGTGGGATCACTTAGCTCTGTCTATCACTTTCTGTTTATGCTATTTGGTAACTTCACTGGATTGGCACCTTATTTATGGGTTTTCTTGGATCTGCTCCTGGCATTTCTTCCTGCATTCTCCAGGGTTGATCCCCTCTCTTGATGGTAATGGTTGAGTTAGGGATATGCCGGGCCATGATATGGGATATGGGGTGGCACAGTGGCTCAGTGGTTAGCCCTGCCACCTCACCACACCAGAGACCTGGGTTCGATTCCAGCCTGGGGCGACTGTCTGTGTGGAGTTTGCACATTCTCCCCGTGTCTGCGTGGGTTTCCTCTGGGTACTCTGGTCTCCTCCCACAGTCCAAACATGTGCATGGTAGGTGGATTGGTTGTGCTGCCCTTAGTGTCTAGCGTGGAAAATGCAGGGATAGGGTAGGGGGTGGGTCTGGGTGAGATGCACTTCGGAGGGTCGGAGTGGACTCGATGGGCAAATGGCCAGCTTCAAAATTGTAGGGATTCTATGAAAGGTCAAAACAAGGGCATATCTATGAAAAGTCTATGAGATTACAGATTGTGTTGGAGTACAATTCTACTGCTGTTGATGGCCCACAGCGCCTCATGGATGCTCAGACTTGAGTTGCTAGATCTGTGCGAACTCTGTCCCATTTAGCACAGTGATAGTGCCACGCAACATGATGGAAGTTATTCTCAATGTGAAGGCGGGACTTTGTCTCCACAAGGACTGTGCGATGGTCACTCTTACTGATACTGTCATGGACAGATGCATCTGCAGTAGACCCATTGGTGAAGATGAGGTCAAGTAGGTTTTTCCTTCTTGTTGGTTCCCTCTCCACCTGCCACAGATCCAGTCGAGCAGCGATGTCCTTTATGACCCAAACAGCTCGATCAGTAGCACTGTTGCCAAGCCACTCTTGGTGGTTGACACTGAAGTCCCCTGCCACATTTTGTGCCCCTGCCACCCTCAGTGCTTCCTCCATATCAACATGGAGAACTGATTCATCAGCTGAGGGAGGGCAATGAATGGTAATCAGCAGGAGGTTTCCTTAGTCATGCTTAACCTGAAGTCATGAGACTTTATGGGGTCCAGAGTCAATGATGAGGAATCCCAGGGCAACTTCCTCCTGACTGTATACCACTGTGTCACCACCTCTGCTGGGTCTGTCCTGCTGGTGGGGCAGGATATATCCAGGGATGGTGATGGAGATGTCTGGGACATTATCTTTAAGGTATGATTCCATGAGGCTGTTGCTTGACTAGTTCGTGAAACAACTCTCACAATTCTAGCACCAGCCCCCAGATGTTAATAAGAAGGCCTCTACAGAATCAACTGGGCTGTTTCTGCCATTGTCATTTCCAGGGCAGAGGTCAATGCCAAGTGGTCTGTCCAGGTTCATTCCTTTGTTGAGACTTTGTCACGATTGATTAACTGAGTGACTTGCTAGGCCATTTCAGAGGACAGTTGAGAGTTAATTACTTTGCTGTGCATCTAGAGTCACATGTCTACATCAGGTGAGGATAGCAGATTTCCAGATGGGTATTTCCAACCATCAACAGTGGTTTCATGGACATTAGATTCTTAATGCCAAATTTTTTTAGATGGAATTCAAATTCAAATCCCGTGGCAGGATTCGAACTGGAGTCCCCAGAACATTAGCTGAGTTGCTGGATTAACAGCCTAGCAATAACACCAGTAGGCCATGTACACAGTCTTTGCAGTATGCAATAACACAGTCTCAAAAGGTCCATGAAACCAGTCGTCAAGAAGTGTTTTAAAGGTGTTCGCTACACTGAGGATGTTTCCACAGCATTAAACGCTTTGATGTTGTTTATTTCTGAAGCTTCACAATATAACAGTCTTCAGAAGAGGCTCCTTTCCCACACTTGCAACCCTCAACGTGAAAGCCTAAAATTAGGTGAGGTGAGACAGGGAAAAGCACAGAATTTTGCTACAAAAGCAAAACCTGCAGTTGTTGGAAATCTGAAATAAAATGCTGGTAAAATTCAGTGAGTCAGGCAGCATCTGTGAAGAGTGAAGCAGGTGTGTTTTTCTTTTACCAGATGTTGAATAGTTTGAGAACTTTATGATTTTTAATTGAATTCTTCTGTTGGATGAACATTATTTGAAGGTCTTTTAATTAATACCTCTTTTAATTAATAAATGCTCCCAAGTGCAAGTGCTTAGTAACTAATTCTTACTCAACTACTCCACTGGTGAGTACAAACTTCACTTTCATTGATCAGGAAGGGGAGGGGAGGAAGAGGGAAGTAGAGAGTGGGGACATGAGGAGGAATAGGGAAGAAGGAAAAGATAAATCGGGGACAAGATGGGTAGGTTGGAGAGAATGTGTGAAATACCCTATTCTTAGGTAAATATGTATACAAGATTGGGACTGATTAAATCTCATACGATTATGGTCTTTTACTTTCTTTTGTCTCAGAATCAGTGTGCAGATTTGTACTGTAGCTGGAACAATTAAAAATTATGTAGGTTACTCCCAGGATACTTCATGTGATGGACCACATTGAGAAAGAGAGTCTTGTCTAACAAGGAGAGGGCTTTCTGTTGCATAAGGACTGCTCATTAAATACATCAAAATAGGAAACAGGATACAATGACAAAGAGGCTCAAAACGGTAAACAAGATTAGACAGCAGCTCTACTACCAGCATCAACCTCATTTCTAGGAGTGTCATTCACAATAGTTCTTAGCTGGCCATAATTCATCATTGAGGAGAGAATGAGCGACTCAAGGCTTAAAAAGATCTTGAGCCACGAGTTGTACAAGCAAGAATGATAGAATCACAAGGTTACAACACAATCCATATACTGAAACAACACTGTCTATTCATCTGACTGACTGCAGCTTAGACATTCAGTGCCAAAGCCAAGTCAAATACAATGAAGGTGATGTTCAAGTTCTCTTACAGAGGGCACGTTGCAGGATATAACAGGAAAGGAAAATGGGAGTGGAAGGAAACGGGTGAAGGAGACAGGAGCACAGAAAGATGAGGGGAGAAAAAGGAAAATGTTGAGGATGTGGAAGAAAAGGAAGGAGAACAGGAAGGAAAGTTAGAGAGATGACAGATAACATGCAGTATATGCTCCTGTTTTACTTAGACTCATGAGAGAAGCCCACAAGCAAATCACTTTAACTGTTTATGCTTCTTGATGAATGAGGGAGTGCCTTTTACGATACAACAATCGATCAACCATTTTGAACAGCTCTTCCCTTGAACATACATACCTGTTATTGATCCTGTCCAGGAGATCCTTCTTTTGCAGTGATTCTAATAGGAATGCTGGCCTTCGTGGCTGTAACCTTATTGGACATGCAAGAGGTCTATTAATAAAATGGAGAACTCCATTAATCTTCAAAAGAAGATAGTTTACATATTCTTTCTTCTATATAGTTTATAATGAAATTTCTTCCTTCTAAATCATTTCAGAGTATTGCATTATAGACTATTCTCCAGATGCTCAAAGCCCATCACAACTCTGTGCCAATGGTGCTCCTGGTCCATTAATGAGGAATTTGAATAATGCAATTTACCCAAAGCTGTGGTATCCATGCTTTCTTTGCTACATAGCAGCATTAAGTAAACACTAAGAAGTAAACCCCTCAGTCCATTGAGTCTGCTCCACCATTAAATTAGGTCGTGGTTGATTTGATCTTCCTCAACTTGTCCTGGCACAGAATCATCTCACTTCCCAATGTTCCGATATTAGGAGACTGGGTTTTCACAATGCTTAACACAAACTCGTGGATAACTTCACGTACATGATGCTGCAACATGAATCGACTCAACTTATGAATCGTTTCAGGTCACTAACAAGTCCCAAAGTATTACGAGAGGAAGGCACTGCATTAACTTTAGTCAAAGAGCTTACCACACAGATAGAAATATAATTACTTCACTTACAAATTGGTGAAATCCATGTCTCCATTAGGCAGCCTCATTGGTAAACCATCATATCTGACGGGATTCAGTGCAACCTTGGAAATCCTTTCCTTAGATTCACTCTTCAAGATCTCAGTTTTTGTACTGAAACCATTTTCTTTAGAAACCTCAGAAACTGGTAGCTTGAAAACCACAGATTTTTTGCATGTCACAGCAGAGGACTTGTGCTTTGAACTCTCTCTCTTGCAGAGCGCTTTGTGTTTCCAGGTCATAGCACAGCGATAGACAACCTGATGGAGGCTATATGCAGTCTGGGGAGACATATTTAAAGTACAATGAAGGTAGAATTAAGCAGCACACGTTATAATTAATAGATTGTGTAATCTTCAGAATATCCATTTTGTGCTTGATGAACTTTATGAATAGCACAAAATTCACATAGTTCCAAACAACATGGATGACTCCAGAAGATCACATTAGCTGAGAGGAATAGGTCATAATCTTGTGTAAAATGAATTCACTTCAATGTAGCACTCCTTTATTAATGCATGAATTAGCCAGCAGTGTCAGGGGATTAATAGAGGAACTGAAAGTTGTAAATTTCCAGAAATTGCCGGTCAGTTTAGAGACTCTAGATTCCCACATTGGTTTTAAGAAACTGCTGGATTTACATATTCATTCACATTAAACTCACTGTACAAACTTGGTGATGACGAAGAGTGCAAGGACCTTTTTAAAACATTTGAACAGCAACTCCAATGGTTAATGAAATACTAACAAACATTTCTTCTTCACTAAAGTGATAATTTAAACTTTTCAATCTCATTACCACAAGCAGTGAATGCTTCTAATTTCAAAGTTGTAAACATCTTTCTTTGACCTTTCATTCTCTCTCTTGATTCAATCTTCCTTGTCCCTATTCATTTCTCCAACGAAAACTGTCTGTCAAGACACATACACATCTCAAAGTGCACTTTTTAATTTCCTAAACTTGCCTCTAATTTTTGTATATATAACAATATGTCATTACCATGTGATTACTTTTCTAGCAAAGGTTCAATCCATTCTTCCATCTTCGCAAATCTGAGCGCAAAAATCTGAGTTTGCACCCCAGCCGATGACATTGGAACTACAAGTACATAGTACAAAAATTAATGAAGTGCTGTACTGTCGGAGATGCTGACTTTCAGATGAGACATTGAACTGATGCCTTGGTTTTCCTCTCAGGTAGACGTAAAAGATCCCACGGTATAACTTAAAGGGAAGGGAAATTCTCAGACTGTTATTAGGTTGGTGTTCAAGCCAATGTCTGTTCCTCAACCAACATCATTTAAAACAGATAATCTGATCACTACTTCACTGCCAGTTGAGACAGCTTGGAATGCTTAAATTAGCTGCTGTGTTTCTTACATTATAACTGTGACTAGACTTCACTGCACTCCATACAGTAAAACAGTTCAGGATGAGCTAGGGTCATTAAAGAGTCTAAACACATGAAAGATTTTCTTTCTCTTTTTCTACCCTAATGGGCTGTAATTCATCCTTCACTGATTAAGGAGACATACATTTTGAAGTCCCAGATGGTCCTTTGCCTTTGCTAGATCATTGTCAGCTTGGGCTTCTAATGAGTATCAGCTTTAAAATGTTTCAAGCTGAAGGGTATTGTAAACGGTTTAACAAATGCTGTACATTTTGAAATGCTCTGCAGCAGCAAGACAGCCATTCAGACATTTGAATGACTATAAATTGAGAGGGGAGAATGTGCAACAAGATCTGGTTGCCCTCATATACCAGTCACTAAAGGTAAGTATGTAGCTACAGTAGGTGGCAAAGAAGCCTTCATAGCGAGAGGATTCAAGTTGAGGAGCAGGGACGCCTTGCTGCAGTTATACAAGACATTGAAAAGACCAGACCTGGAATATGGAGTACAGTTTTGGTCTCCTTGTCTGAGGAAGGATGTTCTTGCCATAGAGGGCGTGCAGTGAAGTTTACCAGACTAATTTCTGGATGGCAGTACTGATGAATGAGGAGAGGTTGAATTGGTTAGGATTAGGAGAGATCTCTTAAAAACCTATAAAAATTCCAACAGAAGTAGACATGGTAAAAGCAGGAAGGATATTCCTGATGTTGGAGAAGTCCAAAACCATGGGTCACAGTCTGAAGGATATAGAGCAAGTTATTGAGAACTGAGATAAAGAGAAATTTCTTCACCCAGTGTGTGGTGAATCTATGTAGTTCACTACTCCTGAAAGCAGTTGAGGCCAAAATATTATTTGATTTCAAGCAGGAGTCAGGGCTAATGGGAACAAAGGATATGGGGGAAAAGCAAGAACAGTTGGAAAATCAGCCATAATAAATTATCAAAAATGGCCTACTCCTGCTCCTATTTTCAATGTTTCTATGTATTGTTTTGGGATGTCTCAAATGAAGTATGATGTACCTGATTCTACTTTCTTCACTGTTACACTTGAGAGAATCCCAAGGAGACCATGACTGCACAGCTATCTGTCCATCGTTACATACGTGCACCAGAAAGTAAGAAAGGTGCACAAATGCATGTTACCTAAAATTGGGGTCAAGTAAAGGAAGTCTCAAATTGTTTATACCTGACCCAGGGGTGCTTGATGGTGACAACAAGTGCCAGAGACGAGAAAACATTTCATTCAATTTTTCTGAAAAGATGCGACAGTTATGGCAGAGGAAGTACAGCACTATCACTTGGAAAACGCCACTGATTAAAGACTCCAAAGATTCAATAAGAATTGAGGAAGAGGGAGAATTCTGTTTCAGAAACATTTACCTTCATCTGATGCTCAGCTGCAACTTGGCTGCGAAACTGCATCATGTCAGAGGTGTAGCGAAGAACTGCAGCCACTCCCAATCTTAGCAGGTGACTGCGATAGGTTTGGACTGCTCTTGCAACGCGTAACCTTTTCCTACGCCGCTCCTCTACATACATCAGCCAGGCATCGAACACCTAGAAAAGGAAATAAACTGAAGAGATCTAGAGACTGTCATAAACTGAAATATTTGTTTCAAAGAGAAACAGACTCTGAAAGACATATATGCAGTAGCTAACAGCACTACAACAGTGAACATCAAAGACAAAAGCTCTTCAATGGCAGTACTGATTACAAGTACTGAAGACTGAAAACAGTTGATCTGAATGCTGCCAATTTGAAAAGGCATAAATTGCTACAGCACTCATGTTCTAATCTTTCACTTGAGAGCCTTCATGTTTCAGTCAGATATACAAACAACAAAGAACAAAGAAAATTACAGCACAGGAACAGGCCCTTCAGCACTCCAAGCCTGCGCCAATCCAGATCCTCTATCTAAACCTGTCGCCTATTTTCCAAGGATCTGTATCCCTCTGCTCCCTGCCCATTCATGTATCTGTCCAGATATCATCTTAAATGACGCTATCATGCCCGCCTCTACCACCTCCGCTGGCAATGCGTTCCAGGCACCCACCACACTCTACGTAAAGAACTTTCCATGCATATCTCCCTTAAACTTTTCCCCTCTCACCTTGAAATCGTGACCCCTAGTAATGGAGTCCCCCACTCTGGGAAAAAGCTTCTTGCTATCCAACCTGTCTATACTTCTCATGATTTTGTACACCTCAATCAGGTTCCCCCTCAACCTCCATCTTTCTAATGTAAATAATCCTAATCTACTCAACCTCTCTTCATAGCTAGTGCCCTCCATACCAGGCAACATCCTGGTGAACCTCCTCTGCACCCTCTCCAAAGCATCCACATCCTTTTGGTAATGTGGCAACCAGAACTGTACGCAGTATTCCAAATGCGGTCAAACCAAAGTCCTATACAACCGTAACATGACCTGCCAACTCTTGTACTCAATACCCCGCCCAATGAACGAAAGCATGCCGTATGCCTTCTTGACCACTCTATCGACCTGCGTTGCCACCTTCAGGGTACAATGGACCTGAACACCCAGATCTCTCTGTGCATCAATTTTCCCCAGGGCTTTTCCATTTACTGTACTGTTCGCTCTTGAATTGGATCTTCCAAAACGCATCACCTCGCATTTGCCTGGATTGAACTCCATCTGCCATTTCTCCGCTCAACTCTCCAATCTATCTATATTCTGCTGCATTCTCCGACAGTCCCCTTCACTATCTGTTACTCCACCAATCTTAGTGTCATTCGCAAACTTGCCAATCAGACCATCTATACCTTCCTCCAGATCATTTATTTACATCACAACAACAGTGGTCCCAACACGGATCCCTGTGGAACACCACTGGTCACAGTTCTCCATTTTGCAAAACTCCCTTCCACTACAACCCTCTGTCTCCTGTTGCCCAGCCAGTTCTCTATCCATCTAGCTAGTACACCCTGGACCCCATGCAACTTCACTTTCTCCATCAGCTTACCATGGGGAACCTTATCAATTGCCTTAATAAAGACCACGTATATGACATCTATAGCCCTTCCCTCATCTATCAACTTTGTCACTTCCTCAAAGAATTCTATCAAGTTGGTAAGACATGACCTTCCCTGCACAAAACCGTGCTGCCTATCACTAATAAGTCCATTTTCTTCCAAATGTAAATAGATCCTATCCCTCAGTATCTTCTCCAGCAGATTCCCCACCACTGACATCAGGCTCACCAGTCTATAATTTCCTGATTATCCTTGCTACCCTTCTTAAACAAGGGGACAACATTAGCAATTCTCCAGTCCTCCGGGACCTCACCCGTGCTCAAGGATGCTGCAAAGATATCTGTTAAGGCCCCAGCTATTTCCCCTCTCGCTTCCCTCAGTAACCTGGGATAGATCCCATCCGGACCTGGGGACTTGTCCAACCCAATGCCTTTTAGAATACCCAACACTTCCCCTCCACCCCCTTATGCCGACTTGACCTAGAGTAATCAAACATCTATCCCTAACCTCAACATCCGTCATGTCCCTCTCCTCAGTGAATACCGATGCAAAGTACTCATTAAGAATCTCACTCATTTTCTCTGACTCCTCGCATAACTTCCCTCCTTTGTCCTCGAGTGGACCAACCCTTTCTCTAATTGCCCTCTTGCTCCTTATGTATGAATAAAAGGCTTTGGGATTTTCCTTAACCCTGTTTGCTAAAGATATTTTATGACCCCTTTTAGCCCTCTTAATTCTTCATTTCAGATTGGTCCTACTTTCCCGATATTCTTCCAAAGCTTTGTCTGCTTTAAGTCGCCTAGACTTTATGTATGCTTCCTTTTTCCTCTTTGCTAGTCTCACAATTTCACTTGTCATCATATATTCTAGGGCTACGATTCTTGCTTAGGGTACTGTACTGTGTTAGCATGCAAGAGCTCCAGGGTTCAACTCCCTGATGAGCCCAGGATTCTTATTTCATTTGGGGCGGCACAGTGGCTCAGTGGTTAGCACTGCTGCCTCACAGCGCCAGCAACCTGCGTTCGATTCCACCCTTGGGCGATTGTCTGCGTGTGGAGTTTGCACATTCTCCCCGTGACTGCGTGGGTTTCCTCCGGGTGCTCCGTTTTTCTCACACAGTCCAAAGATGTGCAGGTTAGGTAAATTGGCCATGCTAAATTGCCCATAGTGTTCAGGGATGTGCAGATTAGGTGGGTTACAGGGGAATGGGTCTGGGTGGGATGCTCTGAGGTTCGGTGTGGCCTTATAGGCCGAAGGGCCTGTTTCCACACTGTAGGGATTCTATGATTTCTATGATCTTCTATGATATTCACTAATTTAGATTGTTTTTTTTCCCCCAAGTAATAAGTTACTCCATATTCTATCAAAATACAATATCTCATACTTATCAATACTGAAATGCATATGTCAGTTATACACCCATTCTGCAAGCTCATTAACAATTTATTGAAATTTGTAACAGTCTCCTTGGTGTTGACCATCTATCCCAATCTGGTGTCGTATACAAGTTATAAAATGCATTTTTGATTCCAAAGTCTACATTGTTCATGCAAATTGCGAACTGTTGTCACAGCACCAATACTTTGGGAAGCCCACTTCTCACATACTGCAGCCCTGAATTGTTTCCCTTCCTGTTGTTTTTTGTCTTTCAGACAGCTAGCCATTCATTCTAGTAACTGTCCTCTGATACTCAAAAGTTCTCATGTTATTCATTAGACTGTTGTAAGATACCTAATTTAAGGACTTGTATCAACCTAGATATATTACAGCTACTGCTACATTCTACATTCTCTGTTTCCATTTCAAATAATTCAATGAGGTCAGCTAAGAAACACGTTTCTTTCCGAAATCGACATTGACAATTCATTAACGCATTTTTGATTTCTTGATGTTTTTCTATTTTCTCTTCAGTCAAATTGTTATTTTTCCTCTTTCTACCATTGTTAAGCTGTGTTCCCAGGACATATCATGTCAGTCAACTCACAAATTACTTGCACAACTGAAGAACATAATTTCTTTATTTTCATGAGCAAAGAATAATGTTCTATTTTCACTGTGTTTCAGCAGATGTTGTTTAAATTATAGGTATGCTCAATGTATCTGGGAATGAATTTGTACAACAGAAATAAATTAGCAGGAAAGAACAATAGTGACTAATTACAAAGTCATGGCAACATATTGTCACTTAACTGGTTCAATAAATGTTACATTATATTACAGTACAGAAACAGGTCATGTGGCACGACAGCTCATTGCCAGTGTTTTCATGCTACAAGAGCCTCTTCCCACCATTTGTCGAACTCCATCCATGCCTCTCTCATGTGTGTATCTGGCTTCTTATTAAATACATCTATGTCAGTCACCTCAACTACTCCTTCAGGTAGCAAGTTCCACATTCTAAACACTGTGTGGCTTTGCCAGCATTCAAGTACGTAAGACTAGCCCAAATCAGGAGAAAGTAAAAAATAACAACTGACCAAGACAAGGAAAAAACATGTGTAACTGTACAAAATCAGAATCCCAATTTCATTAGCAAGAGATGGTTTTCAGAATAAAGTAACCCAACACAAAAGTGATGGACTGAACCTGAAAAATGCAGAAACTGTAACAGTGGCAAGAGGTACCAGAGAGACTATTGCAAATTAAGTAAACTAGAGAAGGAGGGAAAAGGATCCTAAAAAATACATTGGAAACGATCAAATAATGCACAGTTAGTCCCAAGAAAAGCAGGGTAGAATGTCCGGAGAATTAGAAGAGGCTTCGCAGAATGTCTACTCTTGTACAATATGTCAGAATAAAATTGGCCAAACTAGCCCATGCGAAAAATACAACAAACAACTCAGACTGAGATAGAGAAAGAGGAATGGTAGTGTTTAGAATGGACAATGAGTGATCAAGCGTCACAGATTGAGCATTGTACATAGCTGGGAAAGCATGCAAAAATAGCACAAAATGGGAAAGAATAAGGCAGAAATGTCCCTGTCTAAATATGGAGATGGGAATATGTGATTCATTGTGTCTGACTTATTATCTACATGCATACATAAAGGTGTATAAAATTTTAAACATGAAAATGTTGAAGTTGTTCCACTCATAAAGGTGCCAGTCGTCCTACCTGTCAAAGTGAAATTGGCCAAACCAGTGCAAAAGATCAGGGAATATAAAATGCAAGTGAGCTATGAAACCACTAAGACACAATGTGCCATTTTTTTTTTACCCCGGGAGCTCAGACTTCAATTCTGAAGCCAGCCATAAGGATAACAATAGGAAGTTACACTGATTGCACTAGTTGGAGAAGGCTTGTCAGCGACATTCACAGAATCATAGAATCCCTACATTATGGAAGCAGGTCATTCAGCCCATCGAGTCCACACTGACCCTCTGAAGAGCATCTCACTCAGACCCACCCCATCCCTGTAACCCTGCATTTCCCATGGCAATCCACCTAACCTGCACACCCTGGATACCATCGGCAATTTCCTATGGGCCAATCCACCTAACCTGCACATCTTTGGACTTGGAGGAGGAAAGCAGAGCATCTGGAGGAAACACACGCAGGCATGGGAGGGAATGTGCAAACTCCACACAGACAGTTACCCGAGGGCAGAATTGAACCTGGGTCCCTGGCGCTGTTAGGCAGCAGTGCTAACCACTGAGCCACTGTGCCATCCATTCTTTTTTTCCCTCAATGAACATTAGAAGACATCTTTCAAAGTTCTTCCATAAAAATAAATACTCAAAATAATGAAGAAACTAGCCAGTGCAAACCAAATGATAATGTAGATTTTTAAAAATTATTCCCAATGACTTTAAATCACGTTACTCATAGGTGGAGAATTTGAGATTATTATTAAAATGTTCATTGTTTTCAACTTAATTCATTTACAGCTGTATTAAGAGAAGGACATCGGGTTACGGCTCTTAAATACATTAAGGAACACTTTTAAACGAAAGAAAAAAATGGGATTTATTATGGCAAATATTAGCATCATGAAAGAGATAAATGCGGACAGTCATATCAAATGCAATGAGGAATAGGCCTAAGCTTAGAAGCCGCCATTTAATGTGGATAAGTGCAGACTTATACAAATGCAGAGGATGAATGTTATCTAAAGTACACCATACAGGAGTCCAAATTAAAGACAGTTAAGTAGAAAAGCAACGAAGAGTTTTATATTTCATCAATCTCACAAGGTTCACAACTAGTCTGCTATGAAGCTATAATAAAGAATGGCCCAATAAAAAGGAGTACTGTAATGTCTTTGCATAAGATTGGGACTACTGTGGGTGAAATTGCTCTGTCTCAGTAGTGTGAAACAGGTTCATCAAAAAAAAAATCAGCCTACCATCCAAAAAGTAAGTTGTGACCAACTGAAGGCAAGTGCAAGATTTTACACACAGATTTCCTGGCTTAGAGTTTCCATTTTTACAGGAACTGGGAAATCACACCCAAAATGCATTGTATAGGTCAAGTACAGATTTTACATTTAATCACATACAGTAATCCAAAAATTATGCCACGCCTACATGAACTCAGCAATCTAATTGGTGAAAATATTTAGGTTAGAATACTGTGCAGTGTCAGTGTCCTTTTCTCCCAGATTATTTAACACTTACAGATCACCCAAAGTATGAGAAGTGCCAGTAAAACCAATGCATCGCTGGCACAGAATTGGTAGAAGGCAACCGTTGTTGCCTTCATTCTTCACCTGTCTGGCACTTCTAATTTCCTAATTTTCACTACAGCAAATGGGTACTCGTGGCTTGCCTAAAAGTTATCAGTAACTGTTCCAGACCAACTTGTTTCATGACCAACTGATCAGTATTCACTGACTTTGGGTTGGAATCCTGCAATCGTCCCATTGGAGCATATCTGACAGTCAAGTAGAAACCCAGTGGGCAGCACAATAGCTCAGCGGTTAGCACTGCTGCCTCACTCACAGTGCCAGGGACCAGATTCCATTCCACACTTGGGCGATCGTCTGTGCGGAGTTTGCACGTTCTCCCTGTGTCTGTGTGGATTTCCTCCTGGTGCTCCAGTTTCCTCCCATAGTCCGAAGGTACGCAAGTTAGGTGGATTGGCCATGCTAAATTACCCATTGTGTTCAGGGATGCGTAGGTTAGGTGCATTAGCCATGGGAAATGCAGGGTTACAGGGATAGGGTAGGGGGATGTGTCTAGGTGGGATGCTGTTTGGAGTGTTGGTGTGGACTCATTGGTCCAAAGGGCCTGTTTCTACACTGTGGGGATTCTATATATGCTGTCACTTGCCATGCACACTTCCCTTCTAATTCTAAGCTATGTTTCAATACGAACACAGAAAATTAAACTGATACTTGAGAAAGTTTTGGAAGGAAGTGAAAGTTTAGTCCCTGCTGTCTCTTACCTTCCCTTGAAGTGAGAAAGACCAATGCCATAAAGCTATTGCTGTCTTCTTGGTCTCCTCATGTTTCAACAACAGCTGCAAAGAAAATGAAGCAAATCAAATGAGATTCTGTATGAACTGCAGAAACATACTGAGCAAGAAAAGCTACTCATATAGAAAGATATTCAAGGCAGTCTTTATTCTACCACGTTCTGACAACTTTTCCCATCATATCTTGGAGTAGAGATGAAGCAAGGGCAAGGTCTTTATGTGTGGGGGAGGGGGGGGCAAATTGTTTTCCCAACTTGTCTGAGGGCAGTGAACCACCAGGTACCTCACTCAAATGTCTACTGTTCCTGTGCAAAAAGGGTGAAATGGCTCTGTGTCAGTAGTGCAAAACAGTTTATCAAAAACAAAACAGCCTGCCATCTATAAGGTGAGATGTGACCAGTCTAAGGCAAGTGCAACATCTTCCTGCATCTTGGAAAGTGCTGGGAAGCTAGTTAACCAAGTTGGCATAAGGGGTTTTGCAGCCAAGTCCAATGTTTTTCCTTTCTTGATATTTATACCTGGAGACCCAGACCCTGATTAGCAGATCAAGGGTGGAAACACTGGCTGATTTTTTTTTTGTGAATCATAGAATCCCACAGTGTGGGAGCATGTCAATTGGCCCATTGAGACCACACAAACCCTCTGAACAGAATCCTACACAGACTCAACCACCAACCCCCCACACGCACCACCACACCCCCACCCCATGCAATCCTTGTAACACTGCATTTCTCATGACTAGTTCACCTAGACTGCACATCCCTGAATACTATGAGCAATTTCCCATGGCCAATCTACCTAACCTGCACCTCTTCAGACCGTGGCAGGTAATCAGAGCATCTGGAGGAAACCCATAATAGACACAGGGAGAATGTGCAAACTCCACACAGACAGTTGCCCGAAGGTGGAATCAAACCTGAATCCCTGGCACTGTGAGGCAGTGGTGCCGATAAATGAGCCACGGTGCCATCATATGTTCACACTTCATTGCTGAATCGCAAATGAATGATTGATATCTAAACATAATAGTGGCAGCCTCTACCTCTATCCACAAACCAATTCTTTCAACAGAATTGATCTGATTGTGGAGAATCTAAGGCTGAGATTAACCAACAGAAGTTAAATGCAAATATTATAGAGAAGGGATGGAACAAAAAGGCAAAACGCAGGATTGTCCAAATTTTTGGAGCAAAATAGTGCATGCACATATTGCGTAAAATAAACTCAGATTAATGCAAGGGCTAGATGAAATTGGTGCATGTGAAGTATCTTATTTCCTTCTTACTTTTACTTTCCAGTCTGTGAAGTAGCATCGATAAAGTCGCTGTGCTTGAAACCAATCCCCACATCGCCGCAATAACTGGAACGCAATCAAGAACAAAAGTTTGCATCGGTCTCTTTTACACCAGTTCATGCAAGCATAATGAAAATCATTATTGTTGGATATCATAGGTCAGAAGTGTGATAAAGATTCACTCTTTCTCTCTTTAGTGATGAGCAGTTTCACAGATACAAGCAGCTTTTAAGTGCCCACTTTTCATGTGTAAACCCAGATAATGCCAAACTATTCAGCAAGGAGGGTACTGTAGGCATTCTCAATACCACCCACTTCTGGTACAAATCCAGATCCTGCACGATTCATTATCGAGCAGACTTGTTTTTTCCTCCCTCCACAATGTCCTGGCCAACATTCATCCCTCATTTAACAAATTAACTGGCTCACCATCTCAATGCTATTTGGAACTTCCAGCCATGTAAACTGGCCGCTGCATGAGCCTTAATTTCCAGCAAAATTCCTTGGCTATGAAGAGCTTAGTGACAACAAAGCTGCTCAACAAATGCAAGTTCTTTCATCCTTCAAACAATGTATTTCTGGAAGGACAATCAAATGCATGATTTTTGTTGCCACTTACTAGCTTGGGGGCTGGAGGGCTGACAAGTTATATCAACTGTCAAAGTGTCAGGAGAAGAGGTTGAAATTATTCCATAGGGAGCTTTGATGATTTAATTGCTGTGAAGCTCTGAACAAGGAGAAAAGGCTACAATTTAATTTCACTCTCATGAGTATGTACAAATTGCATTAGCTATTACAGGGAACTTGTTACTATTATTAGCCACAATAAGCCAATGCATAATTTCATATTTCACAACTGCACTTACACAAACACCCTGCAGCTGGCCATCTTAATAATCTGATCCACAAGGCCCTTATGGGCATCGTTTGTGGAGCTATATCACTGATCTGCAACAAGAAGTACTGAATGGTCCAGAAGCACAGAATCTGGCATTAAGAGCAACAGAGTCTGGAGAATAGTAATAGGAACACACTCTCCACATCACAGTGTCAAACACAAATCACAGCTCATGTCCAGACTGCCAATGTTTACTGAATCCAGGATGGTGCATTCCTTTCACGGAGAAAATTGGAAATAAAAAATAAAATGCTAAAAGCATTCCACAGTGTGGTGCTGGAGGAACATACCAGGCCAGGCAACATCAGAGGAGCAGGAAAGCTGACGTTTCGGGTCGGGACCCTTCTTCAGAAATGGGGGAGGGAGAAGGGGGCTCTGAAATAAACAGAGAGAGGAGGGGTGGGGCTGGGGAAGATAGGTGGGATGATGATAGGTGAGTGCAGGTAGGCAGTGGTGGGGATTGGTCAGCAAGGTGGGAGGAGCAGACAGGTGGGAGAGAAGACGGACAGGTCAAGGAGGTGGGGATGGAGCCAGTAAAGGTGAGTGTAGGTAGAGAGTTGGGATGGGGGTTGGTCAGTGAGGAGGGAGGGGCGGGTAGGTAGGAGGGAAGACAGACAGGTCAAGGAGGCAGGGATGAAGCTAGTAAAGGTGAGTGTAGGTAGGAAGTGGGGGTGGGAGGAGCGGACAGGTGGGAGAGAAGGCGGACAGGTCAAGGAGGTGGGGATGATGGGGAGATAGGTCATTCTGTTAAGTTTTGAAGCCTATTCAATGAGGGCAACACCACGCCCACTGGTGCCAGCTTTTAATTACAGACAGTATACTGTCAGCAAGCTATCAGTAAGGAGGTAGCAGGTCAGTTAATTTCAGTGACCTCCCATGAAGCTGAATTTCTAATCATTTTGACTGTGCAATTTAGTATAATGGCTGGATTCTCTTTGACATGTAGCTTCCCTGTAACAATTTCTTTATACTCACGATGGCCCTCAAATTGTGGGCATGATGCTGTTTCCAGGACAACAGACACTTCTTCATAACCTTCTGTCTGTAGTGTTGGGTAGCAGCCCTCATTTTGTCTCCTAATATTACTGAGCTTCGACTGATCTGCTTCCACTGGGAAAACGCATGCTGCAGCTGAACTAGGGTAGACAGAAATAAAGTGATCATCATCTCTATTCAACAGCAACAACTCAAGAAAGAAATTCGCCATGATAAAGTGGTGAGGCAGGATTTTAAAAAAACCCAAATCAGACTGCTCATGTCTAAAGAACCAAGTCTGTGAAGTGGAGTAGAATATATGTTAGTCAAATCATTGCTCATCACTCAAACACTTGCTCTTTCTGTCTTATTTTAATACTTATTTCCTTTTGTTTTATGTCAAACATTCAGGAGTTACTGCTGCCATTTATCATGAGCACTTCTTCAGGGATGTGCGTGGAGATGAGAGACAGTGCTAGAGTGTGTGAGGGAGGGAGAGAGAGAGTGTGAGGGAGGGAGAAAGAGAGTGCAAGGGGGGGGGGGGGGGAGAGAGAGAGAGAGAGAGAGAGAGAGAGACACGCACACACACGGTATTGGTCAATCGTTTGGCTTACTGGGTCATTTCTCAGCTTCAGCTTTTTACTACTTTCCATCACTCCGAGCTCTCACTAAACTTGAGACACACAACTGTTTTCATTTCTTGAAGGAGGTGTCCTGAAGGAACTAAGATGATTGGCATATCCCACCTTTCTGTTACTTAGTGTGGGTGATTGAGTTAAATGTGCTCAAATAATGATCTTTGCTCCTCTCAGCAACCACTTATGGGGGATAGCAAATGTTAACCCAAATCAAGACAGTAATGGAACAAATTAATTAAGTGGTGAAAGTAATAGTTAATGGGTTTAAATTAATTTGGAAGGTGAAGGGGAAGCAGAGACAAAAGAAATTAGCAGAATTAAGATCAGAGGTCATTGATCAGGAAGATAATATTTAGCAATAAAAATTAGAAAAGTTCCAAATATCACAGGGTCCAAACTGTGAAAATGGCAAAATGTACAAAGGAAGTATTAAATTGTATGTATGTCGCTGTCCGTGATTTAATTAATAAGCTGCAGATACAGGTTGCTGCACAGGATTATGGCGTGGCTGTAGCAGAGACACGGTTCAAACAAGGCCAGCAATGGGTTCTTAATAATCATGGTTGCCAAGCATTCAGGAATAAGAGGCCAGGAAAACTAGGGCAAAGTGGGGGCGGGGAGAATGTGTGGCAGATTTATGTTACAGAGCTGAATAGAAATGATTTACTTAATGTTAATCCATTGGCTTGAGTTGAGGAATAGAGGGAAAGATGTTACACAGTAAAGAGCCTGTTATAAATAATGAGGTGATAGATGAACAGATTTTTTTGGCAAATTTCAAAGGCGAATAACAAAACAAGACTTGTAAATATTAGGAGACTTTCAATACTCTAATACGAACTTTGAAAACAGCACACTGCTGATTACCCCTTCCCTAAATACCTTAAGGACAGAAACATCTGACACACATTTTCAGGGGAACATCAATAACCAATATGTGCTCATTGTGACCAGGAAGGCAACAGTGTTGGTTCTTGTTCTGTGAAACAGGCCAAGTGGAATATGTTACAGTTAAAAATAATCTAGCAAACAGTGATCACAACACAATTTGGTTCAGAGAAATCATGAAAAAAGACCAGAATATAAGGAAGGCAAAACTACTCAGCTGGGTTAAGGCCAATTGCAGTGATTTTCAGAAGGAATCTAATGAAGGTAGGTTAGAAAAGTTGATCACAGAGTAAAGCAGTTAACAGGGCAATTAGAATATTTAGGGAAGGGATAATTCATCAGATGCAAACTAATTATTGTTTCTTTAAAATGTGTCCAAAGGTAATGTATCCTGAAAGCAAAAGAAAATAAGTGTTAAATAAGACAAAGAGGAAACCCAAGACAATTGTCAAGGGCAAGATTCACTGAATAATCAGAAACAGTTTTTTAAATTCGAGGAGGGAATAGATGAAGATAATATAGTGAACAGAGAGATCAGGAGAAAAGATTACAAAGCAACTTATAAGTGAACTATAAAACATTTTAGAATCTTTTAAGTGGTAACATTTAGCTAGAAGTGTTAGAACAATTAAGTATCCAAGGGAAAAACTTCATGTTGAAGCAGAGGATCTGGCAAAAGTATTCAACGAATATTTCATCTGTCTTCACAAAGAAAGCAGCTAATGTTTAGGTTATTCAAGTGGGAAATGATGGACAGAATAATAATAGGGAAGTATTGCTAAAAAGATTAGCATTACTGAAAGCTATGAAGTCAACTGATTCAAATTGAACTGCACCATGACTCAATGGTTAGCACTGCTGCCTCACAACACCAGGGACCTGATTTGATTCCACCCTCGGCGACTGAGTGTGGAGTTTGCACATTCTCCCCGTGTCTGTGTGGGTTTCCTCTGGGTGCTCCAGACCCCTCCTACAGTACAAAGAGTGCACGTTAGATGGATTGGTCATGCTAAATTGCCCATAGTGTTTAGGGATGTGGAGGTTGGTGGATTAGCCATGGGAATGCAGGGGGAGATGTGGGTGGTGGGTCAGAGTGGGATGCTGTTTAGAGGGTCGGTGTGGACTTAATGGGCCGAATGGCCTGCTTCCACACTGTAGGGATTCTATGATTCTGTAGACTAAAAGATATGATTGATTAGTAATTGAGAACACATATTCAACAAGAAATTTACATTCCTTTAAGAAATAAAAACCTTACAGGTAAAGTGACCCAACTGTGGCTAACAAGTAGAGTTAATTATAGTATTAAGTTAGTAGAAAGAGCCTTATATTGTTCCAAAAGTAGTAAGCCTGAGGGTCTCCTTCAAATCTGAAGGAGATTTTCTGTTGTGAAGACAACGACAGAAGAATGAAGAAATAGCAGACACATCATTAAAATTAGTGATAAAAACACAAAAAAATTTGCAGAGATTATGGGGAACCAAAATGGAGAATTTGAACACAAATTATTGTCAGTAAGAAATAATACCCAAGAAATGAATTGACCCAAAATTCTCTAAACCCACAGAACCCGATTGCATGTGTTCTACCATTTAAAAAGAGATGGCCACAGACTGTGGGTACTCTGGTTTCACTGATCTTCTAGAATCCCTTACATTCTGGGATGCTCCCTTGGGTTCAGAAAATACTAAATGCAATCTCACTGTTCGATAAAAGAGGGATTGAGGAAACAGAGTACTGTCAACCAGTTACCCTGACATCAATAATAAAAAAATGCTGCAATCCATTATGAGGGACATGGTAACAGGATACTCAGGAAACCATGATTACATAGAGTCATCACACACTTGTGAAAGGGAAGGGAATTTGGAAGATCACAAACTATGTATCCATTATCTTTGCAGCCACTTATTTCGTGACCCAAGGAGACAGGCAATCAGGTGGAGGGGACTTAACGGCCTTTAAGCCTTTACTCCCATTTTTCTGACATTACATCAATACTTCTGGAAGTACTCCAGTGACAGTGAATCATTTTGAGATGCATCCTCTCGATGCTCATGACTTTCACGAAAACACACAAATGGGGTCTGATGGCGGAGATTAAGAAACATAAGAACCTTGATCATAATCAACATGCAACAGACTTTCCATCCCCGCTATTGAGATGAGGCAGCCAATATTGATCATCCTGCAATACAGCATCCCAACTCATTAGCGAGAAGCTAATGATTGTTGGTACAGCATAGAATGAGGCCATTTGGCTCATCATGGCTGTGTTAGCTCGTTCAAAGAGCTACCCAATTTCATCTCACTGCAATTCTTTTTTTTGCTCATAGCGTACAGAATTATCCCCTTTGAGAATTTATCCCACCTTCTGTCAAAGCTGTTGAGATGCATATTCCAGATCAAACCACTCTGTGTACTTTATGTTTTATTATGCCATCTCCAATTCTTTAGCCATTTACTTTACATTTGCCTCCTCCGGTTATCAACTAATAGTTGGTAACTATACCAAATAGTTTCTCATTAGTTTACTAAAACTGTTCATGATTTTGAACACCTCTATCAAATTTCTGTTTAATCTTACCTGCTTGATGGACAAGCACATCTTCGCCAAATCTCTGCCCATGACTTAAGTTCCTTATCCCCAGTACCATTCCAGTAAATCTGTTCCATATCCTCTGCAAGACCTTGAAATTCTTCTTCACGTAGAGTGCCCAGTATTAGATATGATAATCCAGCTGGGGCCAATTCAGTGTTTCCGAATGGTGCACAGTGCAGGACAGAGTGTACAAGAAGAAATAGCAGTTGCTTGTGTTAAAGGGAAAACAATAATCTTGGATAATTTAAATCCATACATAAACTGGAAAAAATTAGATTGGCAACGACAGCCTGGAAGATGAGTTCAAAGAATGCTTTTCAGATAGTTTCTTAGAGCAGCATGTTTGGAAACTGGCCAAGGACCATGTTACACTGGACTTAGCATTGTGTAATGTGTCAGGATTAATTAATGACCTCACAATAAAGTTACACCTAGGTAGAGTAACTATAACATGATTGAATTTTGCATCCAGTTTGAAAAAGAATGAGTCTAAGTCTCATACTTTCAAACTTAAAGAGCATGAAAGCTGAGTGACCTATTGAACTAAGACACTGCAGGATAGATCAATTGAGTAGTAGCAGACATTTATAGGTACATATCAGAATAAATATATTCCTATATAAAGAAAAATTCCAAGGTGAGGACCCATATTCTGTGGTTAACTGAAGCAATTAGGGTAAGCGTCAAACCTGAAGAAAAAAGCACACAATTGTGTGAAGATGAGTGGCAAGTCAGATAATTGGACAGAAGATAAATATAGATAAAGGTTAATCAGGAGAAAGAACTTAGGGTATAAGAGAAAACTATGAATTTTAAAAGTAAAAGAAGTGTAAAGGCAAGAGTTTCTCCAGATATACAGGAAAGAAAAGTGAATGCTAGTCCATAGAATGAGAATGGAGAATTAATGGTGGATAATAAGGAAATGGCAGAAGAAATGAACAAATATTTTGCTTCTGTCTTCACGACAGAGGCCACCAAAATCATTCCAGTAATAGCGTTAAACCAGGAGACAGAGGGGGAGAGAAATTTTGTG